CCTGAAAATAGCTCTTGGTCCGCAGGTAGGAGACAGCCAGTCTAAGGATAGACAGTCTATCCAGCTTGGAGAGGATATTCTGTTCAAAGGGTAGGAGACCAGCCAAGTTATCCAGCTCGGCGTTAAGACGCTCCCGGTGACGCTTGGACGGATTACTCTTTGTCTGACCCTCCTTCGGTTGTGGCTTTATACTGTAGGAAGAGAGAAAGGTGTTAGTTGTAGCTGACTTTATGGATGATGTCGTTGTTGGGAAGGTGAGAGAGGGAGAGAGAGAGAGCGAGAGAGAGAGAGAAAGAGAGAGAGAGAGAGAGAGAGAGAGAGAGAGAGAGAGAGAGAGAGAGAGAGAGAGAGAGAGAGAGAGAGAGAGAGAGAGAGAGAGAGAGAGAGAGAGAGAGAGAGGTGTTAGTTGTAGCTTGTTTTATGGATGATGTTGTTGTTGGGAAGCTGAGAGCGAGAGAGAGAGAGAGATCCTAGCTTGTAAATCAAGTCAGGAATTCTTAACCTAACCTTGTAAAACATTATTTAAAAAGAGAGAGAGAGAGATAGTACATGGGGATGTCAGCCCTCTTTCTTCCGCCCTGTATTCACCCCTCAATATCTCCATGACTCTCTGACACACTATGCCTCCCTCCTACCATTTTTCTCTCCCTTACTTCCTCCCTCCTTTTAATCCCCTCCCACCATCTCTTCTACCCTCTCTCCATCTCCCCTTCCCCATCCACGTTTCGTGACATCACGAGATTACTCACAGAAGAGACAGGCGGCAGCATCCAGATGTGAGGGGAATAAGAGTGGGAGAGAGAGGGGGAGACTGGGGGAGGGGAGACAGAAGGGGGATGGGGTGGACTAGTGACTGCACGCAAGAGAGGAAATCTATGACAATGTAATGGACAGATATTTGCATGACACAGATCTCTATTTTCACCAGAAGCTGCTGTCACCCTCTCTGTTTTTTGTCTCTCCATTCTCGTGGTGTTCCATCACACTCTGACAAGCAGCGGAGGGACTGTCTTCGTAGGTATATCTTCTTGTCTACAAAAAGAAAGAAGAGAGCTCCTTTAAGAAGGCCATCTTCTCGTCTTTAAAAAGATGGAAAAATCTTTTTTTTTTTAATTAATTAAGATTTCTTCCCCCGAGAATATATTATTTCTGTAATATTTCTTTTGCAAAATCGACTTATATATTTGTTTTTAATATACTTACAAACTAAAACTTTTAAAAAGTATTTTTTAAATGTAAGTTTTATATAGGAGGTGGATTTTTAAAATTCAGCTTTAAAATAGGCAATGTCATTTTTTTTTAATTACGTGCTAATCACCGATTAAAAAGAATAATCTCTCTCTCTCTCTCTCTCTCTCTCTCTCTCTCTCTCTCTCTCTCTCTCTCTCTCTCTCTCTCTCTCTCTCTCTCTCTCTCCTCCTCTCTCTCTCTCTTCTCTCTCTCTCTCTCACACACACACACACACAAAATAGCCATTGTGAAAATATAGTGAATTTCCAAACAGCTTCTGTTGATGGTGATGCTGCCGCTACTACTACTACTTATACTGCTGCTCCTGCAGCTGCTGCTGCTGCTGCTCCTACTACCCCTCCTTCTCCTCCTCCTCTAAACTGTGCTCACCAGTATCATTCACCTCTGATACAGTTAACCACAAAACTGCCCTCCACTATCACTCTGGCTTTCATTTGGGGTGAGAGTTAGAGGCCGTACACATCCCGTGTGGTCAGCCCACTTTGTCAGTAGGGTGGATCCCCTGGTGTGATATACGGTGTGGTTCTGATGGTTAGTGGGCTAGCTAGTACACTGTGTGCACCAGTGTGTGATTCCTAGCTTGTTTTTTTTTTTTTCAGCAGTGTTGGATACACTGACAGTGTTGGTATACTATGTGATGGTTACACAGTGGGAGCAAAACCTAGTAGTGTTGTGTCTCTATCTCGTATACCATTTCACTGGATTGTGTTTCATTGTCAAATTCCATCACACAGGATGGTGTTTCACTGTCATATTCCATCACACAGGATGGTGTTTCACTGTCATATTCCATCACACAGGATGGTGTTTCACTGTCATAGTCCATCACACAGGATGGTGTTTCACTGTCATATTCCATCACACAGGATGGTGTTTCACTGTCATATTCCATCACACAGGATGGTGTTTCACTGTCATATTCCATCACACAGGATGGTGTTTCACTGTCATATTCCATCACATAGGATGGTGTTTCACTGTCATATTCCATCACACAGGATGGTGTTTCACTGTCATATTCCATCACACAGGATGGTGTTCACTGTCATATTCCATCACACAGGATGGTGTTTCACTGTCATATTCCATCACACAGGATGGTGCTTCACTGTCATATTCCATCACACAGGATGGTGTTTCAGTCATATTCCATCACACAGGATGGTGTTTCACTGTCATATTCCATCACACAGGATGGTGTTTCACTGTCATATTCCATCACACAGGATGGTGTTTCACTGTCATATTCCATCACACAGGATGGTGCTTCACTGTCATATTCCATCACACAGGATGGTGTTTCAGTCATATTCCATCACACAGGATGGTGTTTCACTGTCATATTCCATCACACAGGATGGTGTTTCACTGTCATATTCCATCACACAGGATGGTGTTTCGCTGTCATATTCCATCACACAGGATGGTGTTTCACTGTCATATTCCATCACATAGGATGGTGTTTCACTGTCATATTCCATCACACAGGATGGTGTTTCACTGTCATATTACATCACATAGGATGGTGTTTCACTGTCATATTCCATCACACAGGATGGTGTTTCACTGTCATATTCCATCACACAGGATGGTGTTTCACTGTCATATTCCATCACACAGGATGGTGTTTCACTGTCATATTCCATCACACAGGATGGTGTGTCACTGTCATATTCCTTTATACAGGTTGGGTTACGTTCATAGTCTGATGCATTAATGGTGTTGGGTTGAAGGGAGATAATGACAATTAGACACACATACAACATCTGGGTATCTTTATTGTAGACGTTTCGCCATCCAGTGGCTTTATCAATACATATTCAAGGACATGAATGGAAGACAGAAGAACTATGTACAAAAGATTAGGTAATCAGTCCCTCAGTCTTGGAGTTGGTGTGAAGAGCACCGTAGTCGTGAAGACTCTGGGGCACAGGCAAGAAGGCTGGTGCTTATATACTATCGTGAGGTGGAAAGGGACGGCATATTCACTGGTAAACAGGATTTCCTAGTGGAAGTAGGTCATACCCAAGGGATGGGTTGGTGGTAGTGGTAGTAGTCGTAGTAACCGTGAAGAAGGTTATGTAGATGTCCTGTGAACCAAGATTCCATGATGTTGCAGTGTCTGACAAGTTGTACATGAATGGTATACAATACCGACAAGATGAAGATTAGACATGTGCAACATCTGGGAGTGACTGTGGTTGAGTGGGTTGACTGTGGTTGAGTTGAGGTTGTTTTGGGTGATGATGTTGTTGTTATTGTTCTTCCTGTAGTTATTGTTGTTGCTGTTCCTGTTGCTGTTCCTGTTGCTGTTATTATTGCATGTATTGTGTTGTTGTAGCTGCTGCCTCCTGTCGCAGCTGTTATTTTTGTAGGTACTCTTGTGTTGTTGTTGTTATTGTGTGGTAGTGGTGGTGATAGTGGTGGTATTGGTGGTAGTGGTGGTGGTTGGGGTGGGAGTGATGGTGGTGGTACTAGGGATGGTAGCGGCATTCTCTGTGGAAAATTTCTTGCTGTCTAACCAGCTATCTATGTGACTGACTCAATGTCTGGCTGACTGGCTAGATCAGTGGCTGGCAGAACTGGCTGGTTGAACACATGGCTGGCCGGAAGACTTGCTGAGTAACTGGCTCACTCAGTGAGTGTGTCGCTGGCTGCCTGCTGATAACTAATGTGCGATAGCTGGCTTCATATATATATATATAATATATAAAATTATATATAACTATATATATCATATATATAATATATATATATATATATATATATATAATATATAATATATATATTATATATTGCAAGGATTTCGCAGATCATGTTTATATATATATATATATAATATATATATATATATATATATAAAAAATATATATATATATATATATATATATATAGAAGCCTTGAGGGGTGGTTCGGAATCTAAGTTGTGGTAGTTGTTGTAACTGTGAGGGTTGTGATGGATGCTGTATGTGGTAGGGTGGTGGTGATGGTGGTAGAGATGTGTGGTGGTGGTGGTGGTGGTGGTGTGGTGGGTGGTGATGGTGGTGTATGGTGGTGGTGGTGATGGTGGTAGTGGTGGGGTGGTGTGGGGGTGGTGGGGTAGTGGTGATGGTGGGGGTAGTGGTGATGGTGGTGGTAGTGGTGGTGGTGGTGGATGGTGGTGGGAGTGGTGGTAGTGGTAGACGGTAACTGTTGGTGATGGTTCGGCTGTTTAGCGATTAGGATGCAAGGGGCCAAGCTAATTACTCAGTCTTAGTTCACGGTCTTGAAGAAGTACCTTTCCCAGGGTTCCTAGTCCGGTGGGTAGTACCTATCCAGGGGGGTAGGTACCTAGTCCGGGTGGGTAGGTACCTAGTCCAGGTGGGGTAGGTTCCTACTCAGGTGAGTAGGTTCCTAGTCCAGGTGGGAGTTTAAGGTACCTAGTCCGGTGGGTAGGTACCTAGCCAGGTGAGTAGTTCCTAGTCAGGGGGTGGGTAGATACCTAGTCCAGGTGGGTATGTACCTAGTCCATGAGGATAGGTACCTAGCCCAGGTGGGTAGGTACCTAGTCCAGGTGGGTAGGTATCTAGTACAGGTGGGTAGGTACCTAGTCCAGGTTGGTAGGTACCTAGTCCAGATGGGTAGGTTCCTTGTCCAGGTGGGTAGATACCTAGTCCAGATGGGTAGGTACCTAGTCCAGGTGCATAGATACCTAGTCCAGATGGGTAGGTACCTAGTCCAGGTGGGTAGGTGCCTAGTCCAGGTGAATTGATACCTAGTCCTGGTGAGTAGGTACCTAGTCCAGAAGGGTAGGTACCTAGTCCAAATGGGTAGATACCTAATTCATGTGAGAAGATATCTAATCCAGGTGGGTAGATACCTAGTCTAGGTGGGTAGGTGCCTAGTCCAGGTGGGTAGGTTCCAAGTCCAGGAGGGTAGGCACCTAGTCCAGGTGGGTAGC